TTAATTTTAAATAGTAATTGAGACAATCCATACAGAAAAATTGGCAACTTACTGGTAAATAATTGTAACTTGCTGGTAAGTTTACCAGAATGAAAATTTATCGATATGCTGGTTTATTACAATTCCTTATTCAATCAAAGTAACATTTAAATAAAGTTTATTGAATATTAAAGCTAAGTTAGTTAAAGCTAATTAGCTTGATTGTAAATGATTGCTCAACCAAATAAAGTTGTTTTTACTGCAGTTTTAGTTTGTTTATATAAAAGTATCTTAATAAAGTTTATTACAAGAAACAAAATAAAAAGGAAATATTATAGGCTCTATTACACTGGGGCTAATCATATTTTTTTCCTAGTATTATGCAAAATGTATATACTACAGTTTTTTCTTATATGGTTTTATTAACAACTTTTTAAAAAAAGATTTTAAAAAAAGTTTCAATAGTGTCTATATTTATAATAATAATATTATTTATAATAATAATAATATCAATATTTATAACAATATCAATTGTTATGTTGTTGAAACAATATATGATTAATAAATTTTTATAGATAAAAGGAAATCCTGAATTTGAATCGAGCTTTAAATTTACTGGTGATGTCATTTCCCACTTAAGTAGGTATTTTTTCAGTAATTTTTATAAAGTCTCTCTAAATGTATTTTTATAGTAGAAATTTTAAATTTCTATGAAATGCTAAGACACTTAGTTTGAGATTATATTTAATTAATGTAATCGCTCTTTAAGAACTAATTTATCACTATGCATGCATGCTATGACCCAGCATGCATGCATAGTATGTATGCTATCACCATCTAAAAATCAATTAGTTTTGATGCTTTTTTGTTTTTGTTTAAAATCATTTTTTTTTTTAAAGGTAGTTTTCGATGCATTGATGCTGAAATTCAAAGTTGATTTACTTCATGTTTTTAGTATAAATATTTTACCAATCCATTGTTAAAAAATTGTTCTGAATCTGAATCTGTACTACAAAATTCCATTTAAATGCTAATTTTGCTTCAGCTATTCATCTAAGTGTTAAACAAACTTTTTTTAAAGCAGGTTTGGCCATTTATTTAAGTGTTAAACTTTTCTTTTTTTTATCAGGTTTGAACATTCATCTAAGTGTTTAGTGAACATTTTTTCAAAGCATGTTTGGCTGTTCATTTAATTGTTAAATTTTTTTTCCATTAAAAATGGCAGTATTATTTTAGTTAGTCGATGCAATTTATAATAGTATAGTTGATTTTGATATAATGGCTGCCCAAGATTTTTATTTTTTAATTTAATTTATTATTAAAAGTAGGTGAAAGGGTTTTTTCAGAGTAAAAAATATATCAACAACTTTTTATGTGCATGATCCAATTTTTAAAGAAACCATGTTTTCAGGTTTTCTCTTAATAAGTTTTGTAGGTCACTTTTTGAAACATTGTCAATTAAAATAATTACAAATTTTGGAATTTTTCCAAGATTGTTATTTTAAAAACTTATTGTTATTCAAGCTATTGAGCAAAGTGTAAAAATAAAGTTTTAGACAAACATCTTAATATGAGGATTAAACAAAAAAATTTAATGTGCAGTTTGTAATTTTGCAACAGAAATCTCCCCAGAATTAGTTAAAAATTTCAAAAAAGGAAGGCCAGTCTCCAATGAAACAATCCTGCCACATCCCTTACCCATATCTTGCAAAACAAAATTACTCAATTCATTAGACATAAAGTACAACTGTGAAGCATTGGTATTACAACAAACAACAAAAACCAACAAAAAAGGGAAGCGCGCATAATTACTTAATAAAAGAGATTAAAAATAAAATTGAAACTTAAAAACGTTTTTTAAGTGAGTGATTCCCAAATAGAAACTGTTTATAGTGTTCTCAGGAGCTGAAAAGGGCGGGAGTTTTTGAACCCAACCTAAGAAAAAAAACTTGTGGTTAAAGACAGTGCTCTGGGTTGTTACTTTAGCATTTCTGAGCGCCAAATCTGCTACTCAATCACATTGTGGAAAAGAGAGAAATATACCCAGATCATATTGTAAAGATTGGGATAGATGTATGAACATTTTTGTAGGTTTGCTTAATTATTTTTGATTATTAAGTAAATGAACTTAAGACCAAGTTCTTTAAAGGATTTAAAGCATGATAAGTTCAAGAATCGATGAGTTAAGAAACTTATTATGGTTATTGTGCAAGATGTGAACCACCACAACATCAAGCAGATGATAGATCTATTGGGGATTGTGACAGAGAGATATTTCTTAGCCTCTGATTTAAAGCTTTTAGTTATTTATTTTGGCATTGAAGCACCTTCTTATACTTACTTCTTCAACTGCATAGAAGTTGGTCTAAACTGTAAAATATAGACATGCAGGATTTTATAATCGTGGTAATACAATGTAATTGGGAATCAGTTTATCATTATTAATTTTTTTTTTTTTTTTTTACACAATCAAAATGTCATGTTGGATATTTTAATTCAAGATTTTAATCTAGGTATGATTGGTACTTGGTATGATTAGAGATAATGCAGAACAATATTTTGTGGCTTGTGGAACTCATAGAAAATATAAGTAAACTCTCTGCTGCAGCCTTCAAGTATTGTGTCCAAAATCCTTTGCTAGATCTACCAGATGATACACCTGTTTGAGGAAACCTCTCTCTAATAGAGCTTAATCTATTTTTTTGGACCATTTGTATTACATAGGTGATAAAATAGTGTCCATAACAGAAACATCAGCTTCCATGAATATGTGGAATAATTAATCTTATTTAAACATATATGATTTATTTCTTAAAATATTACTGCCTTATGTTTTCTTTCTCACAATTTAGTTATTGTTTTTTTTTCAATGAGGGGGCAATTGTTTAAGAGTGAATTTCTTAACAGTCAAAAATCAAAAAAATATTTAACATTTTAGCTGCATACAAAATCTCTGCCGACTACTCATAAACTAGTTGATTATTTCTAATTGACGTTCGTTCTAAGATCTAAAAACTTAATGGCAATGAAAAAACTTTTTGTTAAAAAGCAATTTCAAAACTAAAAAAATCATCTTTTCATAAATTTGTTATATAAAGTTAACTAAAAAAATTCTCTAAAATGATTTTGCCTAAAGGCTTGAATATGATTTATCTGGTAATGCATTTATATACAGTTATAAGTGTATTCGATACTTTTGTTTATCTGGTACTGCATTTATATACAGTTATAAGTGTATTCGGTACTTTTGTTTATTAGCACTTTTGTAATGGGATGAAAAAAAAGTAACTTAAATTTAAAAAAAAAATTTCTTTATTTTAACATAGTTTAGAAACTTTAGAAATTAAAAAAAAGTTGTTAATTGGAACATTTTAAATTAAAATAAAAATTTATAAAATTTAATAAAATAAATTTAAATTTATTAATATTTAATAATAAATTTAATTTAGATATAATAAAATAAGTTCAGATAAATTTAAGTAAAAAAAATTTAACCTTCTGTTGTTTTATCAAAAAAAAAAATTTTTACAATTGAAATGCAAATGTTTTTTACAACAATTAATTACTGCTTAAAGAGATCCCAAACCACCGAGACATGTTGTGTCGTATTAAAGAGACGGATAAAAATGTTTAGGCTAAATTTTTTTGATTAAAACAAAAGAATAAATGAATACCAAGAAAAACTAACTTTCTTATTTTAGTGGAAGCTCGATTTCTCCATTTTATTGTAGGCCTAAAAGTCAGCATAATATACGCCGCAATCTACAGCCTTGATAATTTATTCAAGTGTGTTTTATTCCTAAGAGTTTTAGTACATGACGTCATTGACTTTTAATTGTTTACATAATCGATCTCTTGTGCAAACAAACAAAAAACAATGACTTTATATACTAAAACTCCTAGGAATAAAATGTGCTTGAATAAACTATTAAGTGCATAGATTGCAGGGTAACTTTTTAAATTTAATTAAAATTCACAATTAAAGTTATATTATGCTGACTTTTAGGCCTACAATAAAACAGAGAAGACGAACTTTGACTAAAATTAAAAATTTATTTTTTTCTGGTATTTATTTATTCTTTTGTTTTAATCAAAAAAATTCAGCCCAAATATTTTTTTTTTATCATTCTCTACAATATGAACACAACATGTCTTGAAGGTTTGGGATCCCTTTAATGTTTTCCCCATAAACTATTTCAAAAGACTGTTTAAATATTTCGATGGAAAAAAATTTTGGCATAATGTAAATCGCTTAAGACAAAGTTAAAACTGCCATTTCATGCATAAAATGTGAACAGAATAACACCTTTTAATAAGGTCTGTGGCCAGTACAAAGAAGGAAAGTGTTCAAAGTTGTTAGACAACAGAGAAACATTAAACAATATTTTTAAATACGAGTTTGATGTTATATCTGACAAATTAACAAAGTTTGTGTGCAATGCCAGCACTAAATTGAAAACTTGTTTCGGACACATCTTACAAAGATCACTTCAATGCCTAACTGCCGATTTTCAGACAAACCATATGCTTCCTAAACGGTAGCATTAATATGAATACATATTACTAATCAAATAAAATCTCTGTCAAATTTTAAAAAATTTGAGAATTTAAAAGTTTTTAAAATATGTAATAATCTTGGAATGACTCATGATTGAATAGAATATTTGTTGCACGTATAAGTGAAAATATTAGACTTTGCTGTTTTCACAAAAGCTTTTTTCCTTGGATCCCAACAAAATTTTTCTAGGCATTATTTTTTGAAAATAGACATCAGTATGGTCCCAGAAAGGTGTGACATGACCCTGCAACATTTTTGGTTTGAACTTACTTCCTCTAGGGTGTGCATAATATTGTTGTAGTGCACTACTGCTGAAACCTTCCACTATTTTCTAATTTTCAATAAAAAAATGTAATTATTGGTTATGATAAAATTTTGCAGTGGCTTCTTAATTCATCATATTTTTTTAATTGATCGTTGTGCCATTATTAGTGTAAAACTTAGCTTTGTACAATTATTTACAAAAAATTTAACAACCCTGTTTTCACACTTGTGTGGTTTGAAAAAAGTTTAACAACCCTGTTTTCACACTTTTTTGGTTTGGATGGGTTCCTATAATGTGATTTTCTTATTTAAATTACATTGTATAAAGAGTTGAAGCAGTTTTTTACAACTGGGTGCTCTTTCTGGCAGTAATCTGTTTTTGCAGACCAGTACTGAGTAATTTTATTATGACTACTTGAAGGATTTACCACCCAAGGTTTACAAACTCACGCTACACTTAATCACGTTGAAGATTTTATAGTTTTCTTTCTCCTATTTATAAGTTGTTATGGTTAAAGAGCCTCAAATCGACTCAATGACAGAAGAAAATATTTTTTCAAATTCGGAATCAAATAGAATTAAAAGAATCTATACTTAAAAAGATTTTTTTCCTTTTGAAAATGAATTTAAAACATAACAAAACAACAAAATAATTATTTGTACATATTTATGTATCAAAATCCTATACTTTATGCATTACAATGTTTACTTTTTTTTTTAATTTATGCATTAAAAAACTGCTAAAATTTTTTTGTTTTTTGTTTGGCAGCACAGATTTTTTTTATCAAATGTTTATATAAAAACATAAGAAATATGGATGACTTGGTGCCAAACTAGCCTTTACAGTAAATATGTTGAAAAATTGGAAGCAAAGTTTAAAAGTTTTCAACAAAAATCACTACGCCAAACTACACTAAATAGACTAAATGTAATTGCTGTTCAGTGCATTTAAAAAATTTAATGTATGGTATACTGGTGTTTGCAACGAAACACTACATAAAGTATTTTTTAATATAAATTATTTTCAACTTTGTTGTATTCCTAGCAAAGTTTTATTATAGTTTGCTGGGTAGGTTGGTTAAAAAGAAACTTTTTTGTTGTTGTTAAATCATGATAATTGAAACATAGAAGCAAAATATAATACCTTCCCTCACCTAAATATGCCTGTTGTTCCTATAAACCACAAGCTGTTTCTCTGTCCAGCAGCTTTGTTTGTTAAGGTTTGTGTTTTGTTTTGAGTTTTAGAGAGAAAAATATAGCAACAATTTTAAATGTGAATAAAAGTTGTATTAGACTGTAATGGCTCCCTCAACCTATACTATATACAATATAGGAAGGTGAAAAGCGTAAAACAAAAGTAATTAGGTTTTTGAAAAAAGTAGCTTAAAAAATAGTTTTAAAACTTATGTAAGTAAAGTTTTTTAAATTTTATATTTTTTACTATAAAATTAAAGTGGTACAAGTATGTATTGCAAGTATGTATTACAAGTATGTATTGCAAGTATGTATTGCAAGTATGTATTGCAAGTATGTATTGCAAGTATGTATTGCAAGACTAAAATCTTCATAAGTTTTCTTACTTTATTTAGCATCTTCAATCAATATTAAGAATCATGGTACAGATCTTCATATTACAATGCTACCAAACCCTTCTCATTTGGAAGCAAGTCATCCTGTTGTCATGGGGAAAACAAGAAGTAGACAACTAACAAAGAAGTATGGAGACTATGGAAGTATGGAAAACCAAAACAAAGTGCTCAGCGTTTTAGTACACGGTGATGCAGCAATGGCTGGTCAAGTAACTATGCTAAATTATGCTACTTAAATCTCATTTTTATTTTATTTCTGTTTCTTCTTCTTAAATTTCTATGTTTTTTAGTTTATCATGTTATTTATTTCTTTGTTTATCTTTTGATTGAATATAGTGGTCCAATAGAAAGTTTATTAGAATTCAAGTTAATCAATTAAATACAAACAAAATTTTGATTCAAAACCTTGTTGAGCAAAAGTTGTTGTAATTACATGACACTTCATAACAGGTTTAGAAAAGTTGTTTGTACCAAAGTAATACTTTTTGTTGAAGAAAGTACTCAGTAACATAGTTGACTCTAGAATAGCTAATAGAAAAGTGTTTATAACAAGATATAGAGCAGTTTGTTGTAACAAAGTCAATATCAGTTTCATTCATTTTCGATGTAAATGTTATTCAAGCACAATTAAAGTTATTTAAGTTTGAAATAAAATTGAATTCTTCAAAGGGATCTCAAACCTCTGAGACTTGTTGTATTTATTTTAAAGAGGATGATAAAAAAAATGTTTGTGCTAAATTTTTTTGATTAAAACAAAAGAATAAATGAATACCAAGAAAAACTAACTTTTTTAATTTGTCTTCTCCATTTTATTGTAGGCCTAAAAGTCAGCATAATATACGCTGCAATCTACAGACTTGATAATTTATTCAAGCGTGTTTTATTCCTAAGAGTTGTTATACATGATGTCATTGACTTTTGTTCGTTTACATAATTGATCTCTTGCGCAAATTAAAATCAATCAAGTCATGTATTAATACTCTAAGGAATAAAATATATATGTATATATATGTGTATAAATATATATATATATATATATATATATATATATATATATATATATATATATATATATATATATATATATATATATATATATATATATATATGTATATATATATGTATATATATATATATATATATATATATATATATATGTGTGTGTATATATATATATATATATATATATATATATATATATATATATATATATATATATATATATATATATATATATATATATATATAAAACAATTATAAATAATTACAATGATAACACCAATAAACAACCAGGGTGTGTTGGTTATCAAAATAATATTTTTTCTGTAACTATAAGAAATTTACAAATTAAAAAAAAAAATTTACTGTTTTTTTTTTTTCACATTTATTTCATGAAGTACAAAAAAAAAATTTTATCCATAGGGGATTGTCATGGAGTCAGTATGTCTTTCACGTTTGCCAAACTTTGACATTGGTGGAAGCATCCATTTAGTTGTTAACAATCATGTTGGATTTACAACACCATATGATAGAGGGAGGTTAGTATATTAAAAATAACTTAATGTGTAAAAAATGTTTAAAATATTTCAAAGTTTTTTTATAGTACTATATATTCATGTACATTTTCAGATATTTCTTTAAATTTTTTTCCAAATAGTCCAAATCATTAAAAAAAGTCCAAACATCCAAATAGTTTTCTGAAAATACAAGTTTAAAAAATTTTTTTATATAACTTTATCATCAAATAATTAATACAAAAAAAATTTTGTTCATCAATTACTTAATGCTATAGTTAGGTAGTGGTTAGGTAGTAGTAGTTAGGTAGTGGTTAGGTAGTAGTAGTTAGGTAGTGGTTAGGTAGTAGTAGTTAGGTAGTGGTTAAGTAGTAGTAGTTAGGTAACATTATTTTTGTACAACTAATTTTTTAATTTAAACAAGTGAATTTATAATTAATTATTTTGACTGTTTCACCTAGAAATCTAGTTTCATTTAATTTAATAATTTTTTTAATAAATTAAATTAATTTATAAACCTTATCTAATTAAATAATGAAATACTTTTTATTCAACTAAACCATCAGCCCAGTTTACACTCCAATGCACTCTCGGCCTCTGTATACTTCAATGCACACTCAATCCAATGTACACTCCAATGCACACTCAGCCCACTATACACTCCAATGCATCTATCAGTCACTGTAACGCTCACTCCAATGCATCTATTTCCACATTTATACATTCATTTGTGCATGCATAAAATTTTTTCAGACACATGAAATTCTCTTAATTACACAAAATGCACTTATAGTTCCGGATGAAAAAAATATTTCGAATTTTTAAAATATGACCTGAATAATCACTGCATATTGTTGATATTCTTATAATGATGAATGGAAACATTTATAATGATGAATGGAAACATTTATAATGATGAATGGAAACATTTATAATGATGAATGGAAACATTTATAATGATGAATGGAAACATTTATAATGATGAATGGAAACATTTATAATGATGAATGGAAACATTTATAATGATGAATGGAAACATTTATAATGATGAATGGAAACATTTATAATGATGAATGGAAACATTTATAATGATGAATGGAAACATTTATAATGATGAATGGAAACATTTATACTGAGTGTTATACTTTACATCTACTTAAAATATCTTTTATTATTAAACTCTTCTGAAAACCATAAATGAAATCCATTGCAGAATGGCAATGGATTTTATTTATGGTTTCCAGAAGACTTAATTTTCTAGTAAATCATAACTTAATTTCTTGTAAATCATGACTTAGTAACTCGTGATATAATTTTTAATATTAAAATACTTTCTTTTTTTTTTTAGATAAGTTATCTGCAGTAGTTAAAAATTAAATCAAAAATCTGAAACCAAACACTAAAACCAAATTTTTTAATTATAGTTTAAAAAATAATTTTTTAAATATGCATTATCACTGTTTAGCTCAATGTCTCATTGTTCTGATGTTGTAAAAATGATTGGTGCTCCCGTTATACATGTTAATGGTGACTTTCCTGAGGTTAGATTTTTTTTTGCAATATTAAGAATTTATATGGAAATTTACTTTATAATATGTGGCTTTTGCATAGCTGTGGAGCTACTTTACACAAACAATTTAGGTGGCAATACTTTTTTGCTTCAAATGTTTAGGCAGAAACTGTTTTTTTGAAAAGTAAAAATATATTCAAAAAAAAAATTATTTTTACTTGGTGCTCTGGTGGTTGAGTGTTGTATATGAGACCATAACCACTTTTGCCTTTTTTTGCTTAATTAGCTAATTTTGTTCTGCAGTTTGTATTTATTCGTAGATATATATTTTTTAAATTTAAAAATTAATTTTTAATATGTGATTATTGTATTGTAAAAATGTATAGATCCTTCATTATTCAGCCATTTAGAATTCAATGATTTTTTTTTATCTATTATATCTAGTTAATAAAATCTTCCACACTATTGGAAGTGCTAAAATTATACTTAGGTTGATGTTTTAAAGTTTTTTTTCAAATTATCATTTGTTTAAAAAGAAAATTTATTTTGATCTTTAGAAATTTGTTTTGATCCAGTTATTTTATTTAGTAGGTATTGCTGCGATTAATAAGTTAATTTTATAAAATAAAACTTCTTGAAGATGTTAACATTTACTTAACATTTTATTTATAAATTTATTTATTAAATGATCTATATTGTCTTAAACTATTCGTTGTTCTCTTTTATACCATCTAATTCTTAAGTGTAGCACTAATATGTGTGGGGTATTATTCTGAAAAAATGTGTGGGTTATTATTCTGAAGTAAAATTATTCTGAAATGAATTTAAATAATACACATTACATGAAACATTTTTAATTTTTTTTTTAATGTTCATTTTTAAAAATGCCCTCCTTTTGATGTGATATACATTATTTATAATACATTAATTATATTAATATACATTAATTATAACATATATTTATAATATGAATTTCAGAATTTCTATCAAAATTTATAGATTTGAGATTTCAAAAGTAAAAAAAAAATTATAAATACTTTTAAATAAACTCAAAATCCTCAAAACTTTGAAAATAAGTTCTTATATTTTTTGTTGTTTTAAGTAACTCAGAATGTTGCAATTATGGTAATAATGTACTTGATAACTACAGCTTTCCTAAGCAACTTTAATTGTTATAAATTTTATTATTTAGGATGTTGCAAAATCTGCCAAAATAGCTCTGAATTATAAAAATAGATTCAGGAAAGATGTTATTGTAAATATGCATTGCTATAGGAAATGGTTAGTTTAAATAGCTTTCTGATGACTTTACATATAATTGTTTTGTAGTTTAAATTTTTATGACTAACTTTTTATCATCATAAATAATATATATATATATATATATATATATATATATATATATATATATATATATATATATATATATATATATATATATATATATATATATATATATTTATATATATATTTATATATATATATATATATATATATATATATATATATATATATATATATATATATATATATATATATATATATATATTTATATATATATATATATATATATATATATATATATATATATATATATATATATATATTTTTTTTTTTCAACAATTTGTTTTGGAAAACAAATTGTTGAAAAAAATTAAATATGTGTTTTTACTAATTTATTATTGCTCTGTTCTATTGTGTTCTGTAAAACATTGAGCACTCTATTTGTAGAACATACTAACATATATACAGTATTGGCCATTAATAACAATCCATTACTTTATTTTGGTATGAATTTAAGATTAAAATCAAATATTTTAAAATTTAAAAGAGATTTTTTCTTCAATTTTTTTTTTTATTGAAATAAATCAAATTATTACAATATAAATTTACTAAACATAGTAATAATGAAAAAAAATTAAAAACTAAAATATTGAAATAAAAAGTGTTCGTATGAATCAAGAAATAAGTGGCTAAAATAAACAAACCACAACAACAAAATAAATTACAAACGGTAATATTTTTTTTTTTTTTTTTTTTTTTTTTTTTCTTTACAAAACACAAAAAAATAAAAAACAACAAAATTAAAATTTTGTTGACAATTCTTTAGCCTTTAAGCCTTCATTGATCCGTTTTGGTATGGAATTCACTAAATTCTAAGTAATATTTTTTGGAACATTACTCAGTAATTTTATTACTTCTTCTTTCAGCTGGTCCAGATTTTTTATTTAAATTTTACCCAGATTGTGGTCTAACCAAGACCATTAATTCTCTATGCAGATGAGATCTAGACTATTGCCAGGCTAAGACACAATTTTAATGTTGTTTTTTTTAAACCATTGCTTCCAAATCTTAGCAGTATGACATTAAGCATAATCTTGTTAGAAGATAATTCCTATGTCTTTTTGGAAAGGCATTAAATAATTATTCAATATATCTACAAATAGTTGGAAGCAACTAATACTTTCATAGTTCATGCAGACCCAGATGCCTACACTGCAAAAAAACAAACAAACAAGATAATTAGTGCAGCCATTAATATTTTTATGAATATCTATATTTATTTGAAAGAAAATATGATGCTCATCAGTTAACCACTTTTTATATTATAAAAGAGTCAAACAATCATTGACTTAATACTTAATATCAATTGAAGTCGAATGATATCAAAAAAAAGATGATGGATTGTTATTAATGGTCAGTACTATATATATATATATATATATATATATATATATATATATATATATATATATATATATATATATATATATATATATATATATATATATATATATATATATATATATATATATATATATATATATATATATATATATATATATATATATATATATATATAATATATATTTATATTTATATATATATATATATATATATATATATATATATATGTATGTATATATATATATACATATTTATATGTATATATATAATGCTTATATAAACAAACAGGGGTCATAATGAAATTGATGATCCTACACTTACGAACCCTGGAATGTATAAATTAATTAATTCACGTTCTTCTGTCCCAGAACTTTACGCAAAAAATCTTCTTAGTCAAGGTGTATTAAATGAAACAGATGTAAAGTTATTAATTGACAGTGAAGAAATTTTTTTAAATGAACAATTGAGCAAAGCTGACCAGTTTGTTGCACATTGGTCACCATTCAAAGGAAATTGGAAAAATATGACACAAGCTCATCATGAATACACAACTGTATGGAATACAGGTATCTTTATTAACTTTTTGATAACTTTTACTTATCTATCAAAAATATTATTGTCAATTGACATCTTTTTAATCCTATTTAGGTGTCGATATAAATCTATTAAAGTTCATTGCTTCTAAATCTGTTGAGGCCCCTCCTACATTTGCAATTCATCCAAATTTAGAAAAATCCTTTTGCAAAGCACGTGTTTCCAAAATGGAAGATGGCTCTGCAATTGATTGGGCCACAGCTGAAGCTTTAGCTGTGGGTTCACTTATCATGGAAGGTTGAAGTATATGCTTTCATTTCTTTTTGTTTTGCAATGTATTGCATTCTCTTTTTTCTGAAATTTAGATTTCAATATAATGAAATTAGTGACATCACACAGCAGGATAGCAACAAAAACAATTGTTTTTTTAACTACTCCTTTTTTCTTTTCTTTTTTTTTTTTTGTTTTGTTTTAAAAGTGTAAGTTGGGATATTAAAAGTTAAAGTCAAAGAAATATATTATTAGTACAGTTCTAACTTAAATCAACAGTAAGAGATATGTACATTCACAACAAAATTCCATCTTTTTAGGAAATCATGTTCGCATTTCTGGTCAAGATGTTGGACGTGGAACATTTAGCCATCGACATTTCATGTTTGTTGACCAACAAACTGATGATGTACATATCCCATTGAATAATTTGTCTAAAGAGCAAACTGGTTTTCTCGAGGTAAATATGTTTAATAAATTCAAAAGTAAAAAAAGAAAATGGTAATAATATATTCTAAAACCTTTTTGTGTGTGTGTGTGGTTTCTAACATACTTTAACATGTACAGCTGGTGTATGTACTTAGGCTCTCATCTATTCTAGTATTATACATTATCTGTTATTACTACACTTTTTACTATTTATTACTATACCTTATTTATTTGAGTATTATATCATAGTTGAAGTACTAAGTACCATATATTAATATACTGTGTCAATATTTTTGAAAATAAAAATATTTAAAATTTAAAATTTTTTATATTTTGCAAAATATTTCAATCAAAGGCATAGCATATCTAAATTTAAAAAATAAAATATTCATAAAAGATAAAAAATATTACTGGCATACCTAACTAATAAATATAATTGATAGGTAATATTTATAATCATATAAATAATACCTATCTTATAAATATTACCTATCATATAAATATTACTTGTATTACTTATTATATAAATATTAACTATCATATAAATATTACCTATCATATAAATATTACCTATCATATTTGGTTGTTTAAAACATTTAAACATCAAGCATTATGGTTCCAAACTTGTGTGGTTTATACAGGTCTACATAATGTTGCTTTCTTATTTAAATATGACATTATGGAAGGGTTAAAACAAGTTTTTATGGTCATATACCCTTTCCTAGTGTTAACTTGTTTTGCAGTCCAAAACTGAGTATTTTTATTACCATCCAATGTTGTTTTTTTTAATTTACAGGGATTATCTTTTTCCGGATGTTTCCGGAATTCCAGATATTTTTCTCAACTTTTCATTTTTCCTGATATCAAAAATGTTTTCCATACATACAAGTTTAGGTATATATTTTAGTAATATATTTGTTTCTTAAGCTTTTTCTCTCATTACTCATACAAAAATAAAGAAACGTTAAAAAATTATCTCTCAGCTAAATGCAAAATTAAGAGGAATATAAGGGAAAATATATTCCGGAATTTTTCCGGATATTTTACCCAACCATTTTTACGGATTGTTAAAATATGACATGGGTGATCTATGAATCTAATAAATCTCATATCCCCATACTCTAGATGCCACTAGACATCTAGAGTATGGGGATATGAGTTGTATAAGATCCAATATGAGTTGCGATAAGAGAATAAATAGTTGAGGAGGCAACTATTTATTTTTGATGATTTATATTTGATGATGATGATGAAAATGATAATGATGATGATGAACATTTAATCAGTTGTTTTGAAATATAGGTTGTAAACAGTCCTCTATCAGAAGAAGCTGTTTTAGCTTATGAGTATGGAATTAGTATTGAAAATCCAAAACATTTAGTGTTATGGGAAGCGCAGTTTGGAGATTTTTTCAATGGCGCTCAAATCATCATTGATACATTTATATCAAGTGGTGAATGTAAGTTTTTTTTTATTTAATTAAATTTTATACATGGGTTATTAGAAACATAAAGAAAAAATAAAGTGTATGGTTCAGACAAATCTTCAAAAAATTAATTGATTTTTTTCTTGATAAATTTTTGTAAATGCTAGCAAGTTACCTCTGAAAGTTTGGTTAGAATCAATTTATGAAACTGTAGATAAAAAAGAACATAAAATTTTTGAACATAAAATTTTCTATTTCTTTTTCATAGAAAAAGAAAAAAAAAATTTTATATAGATTCTTTGCGATGTGTTCAAGATTTTCTTCAGCTCTTATAGTATAGTATAAACATGTAGCATATATATATAAATAAATATACATATATACTTATGCATATATATATATATATATATATATATATAATATATACACTTATATACTACATGTTATATGATATATATATATATATATTATATACAGATCTATTTGATACTGCTGGAGCGGTATGGGTGGCATACCGCTCCAGCAGTATATTTGATACTGCTGTAGTGGTATGGTAAGAGATATAGAATTTGATACAGTTCCAATCTTTGGAAATAAAGTGAACCATTATTCCCAGATAACCATTTTAAATGATGACCGTGATTCATGGCAGACTGACATATTTTCAGCTTCTAATTGGACCAATATTTCCTTGAGAGAAATCCAGTAAACTTCTGTAGTATTTTTTGCCAGCATTTTTGTAATTTGAAGCAACAAGAGCATGTTGCCTCAAAAGTTCAGCATCATTGACAATAGAGTATGGTTGGAGGTCAAGATCTATCGTTTCAAATATTGACTTGTGAAATTTTTGGCCTTTTTCAAAATTAGTGTCAATTTTTGAAGAAGGCTGTACCCAGTTTAGAATTGTAGATTTTAACATCAGTTAAAATCTACAGTTTCAAACTTTGTTCAACATCAGTTCTTTGTTTTTTTGATCGTGTATTGAAGATTGGTCTTTCTCTTGTTTAAATTCAATTCAGCTTTTTTGTTGTCTTTTGGATTTTGTGAACTTTCTGGCTTAAGTTTGATGTCAGGATGATGAATTTTTAGGTGGGACGTTAGTCCATATAATATTTATTTTTTGGGGTTGTTTGATAATTTTAATTCTACAATGAATACTGAAATGGTCTATTAGGAGGTTTCCATTTTTGGCACTTTTTAGTGAAAAAACTTGAAAAGCATAACTAACCATGGTCTCCCCTAATAATTTATATATATTTATTGATATATCAGTTCAAAAGGGTGCTAATGGTAGGATCCTGACCATTCTTGTGCCAGAGGTCCTTGTAATGTTAGGACGAATATTAAAAAAATAAATAAAAAAAGTTAAAGAAATAAAAATAGTAAAATATAAAACAATTTTTTTTATCAAGAAATCCATAAGATTAGTTATAAAAGTTGATGTTTTTGTTTTATTTTTAAAAAATGATAAAATTTAATGTATTTTTCTAGTTACACTTTTACTATTTTAGTAAATATTTTACTTTTTTATCATTGTTTTTATCATTTAACTTATATTATTTTTAACCATTGTTTTTTTTTGTTTTGTTTTTTTGTTTTTGTTAAATATTGTAAAAAAAAACTTTTTAATACAATTAAATGTAAAGACTATTTTTTAGACAACTTAGTTACTAGTTTACTTTTTAAATTTTGAATGCAAATTTTTTAAGTGCAAAAAGCACAGCTTGAAGGACTCGTACAAATAATTTACAATTAATATTAAGCAAGAAATTTAATTTTAAAGCTTTTTTAGTAAAGAAAAAAGTTAAAAAAAAACTTGAAATTCTTGAGAACTTTTATCTTGTGTATAAATTTTTTTTAGTAAAATGGCTCTTACAAAGTGGCTTGGTTTTACTGCTTCCACATGGTATGGATGGTGCAGGTCCTGATCATTCAAGTTGCAAGCTGGAAAGGTTCCTGCAGGTGTTACAAATTAAACAAAATCATTTATTTTTTTTTACTTTTACTTAAGGTAACATAACTCAAATATTTCTTGAATTAATTTTCAGCTATCAGACAGCTCAGAAGATATTGTAGATAGTGACAATACCAGCATGCAAATTGTGAATCCAACTACACCTGCTCAGTATTTTCATTTATTAAGGCGCCAGGTTGGTGACAAATATTTTTATTTTATTTATCTTTATTTTTACTTTGCTAATGTTCTTTAATATTAATTGTTATAAATGTGATTATATATGCTTTTATATTAAATTTAATATTGTTTTTATAAAAATAAAAATACTTATATGTTAGTATTTTTTTAATTATGTTATAAATTATGATAGAGAAATTTAAAAGTAGATAATTTTTCTGTTCATATCTCGAATCATATAAAATTTATGATTCTGTTATGTTAATTACATAAATTATGTTAACTACATAAACAATAAAGTTGACTTCAACTGCAGCTTTATTTCATTGTAAAATATATAATATTAAATAAAATTTCATTATAAACTTTTATTAAATTAATTTAACTATTGTAAAATCTAGATACATGATGATTTTCATTATTACATAATGTTCTTTACTATTAATTTTAAAATTTGAACACTGAATAGTTCTATCTTTTTAGAAAAGTAATTTACTTTTTTTGTTTTTAGCAAGTGAGAAATTTTCGAAAGCCTTTGATAGTTGCATCACCAAAATTAATCTTGAGAATGTCGGTAAGAATATATATTTATATTTATATATATATATATATATATATATATATATATAATATATATATATATATATATATATTATATATATATATATATATTTATATTATATTTTTATATATATTTATATACATATATATATATATATATATATATTTATATTTATATTTTTATATATATTTATATACATATATATATATATATATATATATTTATATTTTTTATATATAATATTTATATATATATATATATTTATATATTATATTATTTTATATATATATTATATCTATATATATATATATATATATATATATATATATATATATATATATATATATAAGATATATATAATATAATATATATATATATATATATATATATATATATATATTATATATATATATATAATATATATATATAAATATAATATATATAATATATATTTATATATAATATTTAAATATATATATAAAATATAATATATATATATATATATATTTTATATATTTATATTTATATATATATATATATATATATATATATATATATTTATATATTTTATTATATATATATATATATTTTATATTTATATCTATATATTTATATTTATATATATATATATATATATATATTTATATGTATATATTTATATTTATATTTTTATAATTTATATTTATATCTATATATATATATATATCATATATAAATATATATAATATATATATTATATATATATATATATATATATATATATAATATATATAATAAATATATATATATATATATATATTAATATATATATATAAATATATATATAATAT